GATAATTGCAGGAATGATGCATCAGAAATGGAATGCTGCTCTGTTGTGTGCTGAGAAGTGGGGTGCTGTGGGATGATGTACTAATGATGTATTACCTCATGGTGTAACATACAACTGCAGATGTTAGTGCTGTTAGTGGCTGCAAGAGTTGGCTTTTTGTGTATGGTTGTTTCTACTGCTTCTGATGGCAGAGGAGTTTTTTGCTTGTCTTTTGTTGGTTTTGGTTGGTTACTCATCAACCTGATGTGATGCTGCAAATGATTGTGCTTATTCTATGGTGCCAACCTAGTTGGGATCATATTACTTAGCTATGATGCTTGTGCATTCATCTCTTTTATTGTTGTATAGTTTCTTATTTCTCATCAACAAATCTCTTTCTTTGCCGATCAAAAAAAAAAACAATCAGAATAATTATTCTGATATAAATATAACGTGAAGACGAAAATAGCAATATGCATGGTTATCTTTAGATTCTAAGTTGTATGCTTTGTAATAAAAATGATGCAGAGAAACAGAAAGCATTTTGAAGCTGTCTTCCCAGCTCATTGAATAGTTTGCATGATGAAGGCAACGTTGTCCACAAGCACTATGCTGTATTACAAAATTTTGCAATTTATTAGTATGTCAAGCTGTACCTCAATGTATTGATCCATATAAAAATTCAACAACTAATTTCATAATCTTTACAGATTCACACATTTGAGCAACTATTGCATGACTTTCACGAGGTTGTTAATGAATAATTTCGTTAACCTTAAGAGAGAGTATGTTGAAAATGATTGGAAGAATTTATTTAATAGGATTGCACTGGTGATCTTTGGCCATCATTTGAATCATTGGCTTTGAGCTAGCTATCTAATATATGTGCATGAGGCAAGTTATTTTTCTTAAAAGAAAACCTAGCAAAATAAATTTTTTGTGTAACCTTTGTGTTGGACGAGTCTTGCATCAGAATGTCCAACTTCGCCGGGAACACTTTTTTCTATCACATCTTTTTCATCTCCTGGTGATTCATTCACCCTACTTCAGTTCGTCTTTAGTTTCTTG